TTCTTTACTTGAGTGCAGTCGTGTGCTCTTCCGATCTAAATTTATTAAATCTCATTATTGTTATTTGATTTAGAGTATTATTAATTTTAACTCTATTAAACACGTAGATTTCGTGGGTTCGACACTTTACACACTACTATATTACTTAATCACGACCCCGTTCACTTGCGGGTTTTCAAACGGTGTAGTTTTTGGACTAATTTATAAATATAACACCACCCACAAATTTCCAGTTTTGTAAATTTCTAAGCTGAAGTTGGCGTTAACGAAGTATTATTACCTTTAGGGTTATTGTTGGTAAGATTAGCAACTCAACAGAATAAAATTTTAATTTGAGCTTTGATTGAATGAACTACTTACAATCAATTAACGAACCCCAAAAGTCACTGCTAATTTTGTCAATTTTCCATTTTAATTTGACAAGCTATCCTGATGTTACATGGACCAACATTGACAGAATTGAAGCCCAACCTCAATTTTGACGAATCGACATGACTTAAATTCTGGCCCTAATCATATACGAAGATGGTGAGGCCCGGCCCTCTAAATCATCTAACAAGCGGGATACTTTCATTTTTGGTCACTGAACATTCAGTTAGATCTCATTTTGGTCACCCAACTTTAATTTATCACAGTCTAAACATTCAATTTCAATTTAGTTTCATGGTTAGTCACTTTGTTAGCTCATTTTACTCCACTTAACATCCCAAGAGGGGCCCATGAGAAAAAAAAAATAACTAGCAAACTTAGTGCTTGCTTGGTGTTTTTAAGTATATATAAATTGTGAATCTCACAAAATGTGTCGACAATAAGCGAATAGTAAGTTGTAAATTTTATGAAATATGTGGATAAAAAGTTTATTTGACTAGCTTAAAAAAATTAAAGCTTTGCCAAACATGCACTTAAGATGGGCTCATCATTAGTTGATAGCTATATTCTTCCAATATTAACTCGAACCCTAAATATCTAATCAATCTCGAATTCCTTAATTGAAACGAGCAAGGGAAACAAGGTGCGAAATCAAGAACTTGGACTTATTTAATGCTAATTTTGTTACATGTACATCAAGTTTGATATTATTGTAAGCTGATAACTTTTTATACATTGATTTTAACAACACTATAAACAATGAATAACATACATTTTGCCACGTCTTCGAGTGTCAAACTTGCAACAAATTTAATTCATTTAATAATCATTAGTTTGAGCGCATCTTTAGTCTTAGATTGATGAATTTCTACTTTATCATAAACATACTTTGGTAAAGTAAAATACCATAGCATA